TAAAATCAGCACCTTATTTTAGTGGTATGCAACGAAAGGTATTTGTTAAATGGATTTTTATTAAAATTTTGATATATTTTGTTTTTGTTTGATTGAATTAGTCGATACAACCACGAAATATTCATTCTAGTCCAGCTATATTTGATGTGGAATATGTTACAGATAGATTTCACGGACGATCATTGGCATTAGCACATTCTCAAGAAGAAATTGAAGAACTTGATTTGAAAGAGAATGATGAAACATTAACCGAACAAAAGTTAGTTTTATTATGATTTTCTTTTATCTATATCAATCCTAATAGAATACTTACGAGATTAAAATAGAAAAACTTAATCTTTAGCTAAAATCAATGAAGTGAGTACAATCAATTCTAGCTATCATGATTATCATCTGAATAAATAAATTCAATCTCTTAATCTAACTTTAACTAAATATTTTATTCGATTGTTGTAAAATACTTGAAATCATTATACTTTTTATTCTAGTCAATTTATTCGGCATAATACATATCGTGTTCGTAAAAGACGAATGACACCAAGTGTTTTACCAGAAGATGAAACTATACAAACATTAACTCAATCAACTATGAAAAAACAGAAATTAATTGATCAAGTAACTCGTAAAGTTAAAGAAGCAGAAAGCAATGCACATCTTTTAAATATGAATATTCAGTAATTATCTTTTGTTTTTCTTTGTCTCTCTTTATATATACATATTTCATTCTTAGACTTAAAGAACAATTAATTAAAAGTGTTTATACATCAACAAAAGATGTTAAAAATACGAATGAACAATATCAACAACATATTAAAATGCTTGAAAGAGTAATTATTTTCTAAAAATAAATGAATATCTATTTATTATTTATGTATATTTAAGGAAATGGAAAAAGCTAAACTTGAATATCAAGATTTACAAAAAACAATGCAACAAATAGCAACGAAAAATACAAACGATAAATCAAAATCAGAAGGGTATACTTTCATGAATACATATATGATGTAATTCTTACTTTGTTTTATTTAGAGAATATCGAAAAAAATGTGAACTAGCGAAAGCTCGTTTGGATTCATTACAACAAAAAGAAAAACATTATCGAGAACTTATGATTAAACTTACAGGCAATAGTGAAAAAAGGTATGAATTTAGTAGTCTTATCAAGGGGGAAAGTACCCCAGCGCCTAGTATTTTATCCAGATTTCTTTTTTCGGATGGGCCGGCGCTAGAGTACGGCGGTTCCAAAAATTACCCGGAATCGGGCTTAAACCGCGGTTCCGGTTTCATTTTTTTGGAACCACCGTACCTTAGCCGGCGCCCACCCGCTGATTCTCCCAACTAAGGTCGAAAGTAAAAATGTCGATGTATAAAAAGATCGAACGAAAAATATCAAAAATAATAATGTTGAAGTATAAAACTATCGAAGTAACAAATGTCGAAATATAAAAATGATAAGACTTTGGGTACTCGAAACAACTTAAGGAGAAAAATAGAGAAAGACGATTGAGGATGGGTGTAAATACAGGCATTCATCTATATTTAGCCACATCCTCATCCTCATCCACACCCACACCCACACGCACATCCTCACTTACACCCTCGCACACATCCTCACCCACACCCTAAAATCAACGTCTTCTACATTTTTATACTTCGATATTTTTATATTTCGACTATTTTCAATTCGACATTCTTACATTCGACATTTGTCTAATTTAATTTCGACGTTTTTACCTTTCGATATTTCTAACTTTCGACATTTTTCTTTTTTGACCAAAGTTGAGATTACCCACCCGCTAGATAAAACATTCGTATTTGAAAATTATTTTTTAGAATTATTGATTTACAAGCTGCTCTATTTCGTATGAAACAACAATATGAAACTTCGCAAAAACGTATACGTGAAGAAATAGAGTTAAAAAATAAATTTGAGCAAGATTTAATACGTGAACAACAACGTATACAGGAATTAACGATTCAAAATGAACAACAACAAAAAATATTAAAATTAAAAACTGAAGGTCTTGTTGCAGCACAACGAAAATTACGTGGTGTATCCAATGGAAATCTTACGGATAGAACATTAAATTTCGATGTTGAAATGGAAAAATTAATAACAGAAAGAAAAGAATTAGAAGGTTTAAGAGATGATATGGAGAAACGTGAAGAACTTATTAAAAAAAAAGAACTATTAATTAATGAAAAAACTGAACTGGAAACGAGAAAAGTTCGTTCAAGTCAAGTTAATAATAAGGTTTGAGAACTATTTTTTCGTTAGAAACAAAAATTCTATTAATATATGTTGTATATGTAGAATACAAAGAGTATTGATAAACAAAAATCAGATCGTCAAATGATACGTGAACAATTAGTCGAACAAAAACGTTTATTTACAGAAAGATTAGAAGAACAAAATGGTGTATTATCACCTACAGAAGAAAGACGTTTAATTGAAATTGGTGAAGCTATTGAAGCACTTGATTTAGCTATTGATTATCAAAATAATGTTATATCAAAACGTGAACGTGATGTTCAACAATCTATTCGAGCTAGTCAGGTAAAAATCTTTACTTTTTCGTATAATGTCTACTTACTAATGAATTCATTTTATTATTTTAGGGTTCTGATTCTCCTCTATTTAAAATTAGTCAATTAAATGAAAATGAATCCAAAGAACTTTGTCGTAAATTATTCGAAAAAGTAATTGATCTTAAAGAAGATGATAATAAAAATCAACGTAATTATGAAGAAATGAAAGTAAGGATTTACTTTTTTCAATTATATTTCAGTTCTTTTTTTTAAAATTTAGTCCCAACTTATTGAACAAACTGAAACAATTAATGAATTACAATCACGTATTCAATCATTATCACTTGATCATGATCGTCGTTTAACATCTATTCAACAAACACATGAAGAAGAAAAACAATTATTACTTGGACAATTACAAGAATCATCAAATCAAATAAAAGAACTTGAAAAAGATTTATATTTCTATAAACATAAAACTAGAGAATTACGTAAGTCTATGGCAACATCAATAACAAATGTTAGTGATCTATCAACACAACGAAAACATTCCAATACAAATGACGATGATTTACGTTTACCAAGATCATCTGTACAACAACCAACACCATTTATTCTTAAAATAGGTAATCGAAGTAATTCAACAAATAACTCATAAAACAATACATCTAAAAGAATAATAATCTCATACAGTGATCTCTTTTATTTAATATTATTGCTGTTGTTGTGTTTTTTTTTGTGTTTTGCAGTTGTAATATGCTCTTTTAGCTATCTGTATACCTGTGGTAAATGTTCTGTTTTTTTTCTTGTTTATATTACACAAGAAGGCTAAAATAAATAAACAACATCTTAAAGATAAAATCTCATTTAATCAAACTATCAACACAGTACTGTCATAGATCGAAACGTTAGCATTTAAGATTGAGATGAAATATTCATTTTGTATTTTTTGTGATGTTACGACCGATGATATCTCATACAAAAACATTTTCAAACATGAATATATGGTTTGCAAAAAGAACTGGAACAATCTGAGCGTACAAACATTCAATGTTCTTTGGCTTCTCTCAAGATTTTTTTGCGCGGTTATTGTAGATTTATACTTACCAGACTCTCTACTAAAAACATTCATGCATTTGATTTATTTCTATTTTATCGTTGTATGATAGTCTGATATAGCAAAGACTGACAGTCTAAAATCACATCATATTTCTGTATTACACTATTTAAAAAGTTTAAAAGTCAAGGTTTTATAAAATATCTGGCAGTCTAGGGCCGAAAAAGTACGATTAATGTGAAGTTCAGCCGAAAAATGAAAGAGTTTGTTGAAAAATGACGGGTACAATATGAAATCACTATTTTCATCACCAAAACCTCTCATTATTTGTATAAAACTGGATATTATTATTGAAAAAATTATAATGAGTTTGGTTAAAAGCAAATGTTTCTCGGTTAATGAATCAAATATGGAATGTGATATTCTAACGAGGGACCCTCACCAACTGTTCAATCGCTTTTTTAATAAAAACCATTGGAATAGAGGTTATCAACCATGCTGATTCCGAATATGAGTATGGGAAGTGCCCTTAGAGATTTACAGTATGGTCCTCTAGAAAACCGGTTTCCAAAAATCACAAACTTTTTACTATCCAGACAGGCATAATCTTTAAAAAACGCGTAAAAACGCGTTCAAAGAGCGTAGATACGGTGTTTCAACAGCAGACTACAATAAAAACGGCTTTTTTATGCGATTTTACGCGTTTTTTAAAGATTATGCCTGTCTGGATAGTAAAAAGTATGTGATTTTTGGAAATCGGTTTTCTAGAGGACCATACTGTAAATCCCTAAGGACACTTCTCATACTCATATTCAGAATCAGCATGGTTGATAGCCTCTATTCCAATGCTTTTTATTAAAAAAGCGATTGAACAGTTGGTGAGGTTCCCTCGTAAGACTATAAACTAGTATTTACTAAATAAGAGAAATTGTTTTTGAAAACAGTTGAATTAGAGTTTATCACAAGTTAAATATTTGTTCCAATTTTTTTTGCAAACCACTGTATATTATCGTGCATCTTTGACATCTTAATTTTATAATTTTAGTATCTCCGACCGATACTCATACTATAATAAAAATATAATTTAATCAAAAAATATATATATCATATATTGCATAGATTTGTTTTGAATACACTGAAATTATTCATTACTTTCCTAATCAAAGTTTGAAAAATGTTGATACAAGTTACCTTTAACAATGAATTGTACTAGTTTAATTCTTCAGGAAGCTATTTGAATTATCAGATTAATTATAAATGTAAAAATGAATTAAAACATTCGGCTTTCTTTTTTTTTCTTTAATCTGTGTTGAATACAGGACAACAAAAAAAACGAACGAGTGACAATAATAGAAATAACAAACAACACACTTTTCTTTTTTTTTGTTCATTACAGTCAATCAATTCTATTGATCTATTTGTTTGAATCAGCCGATTTAGCTTTTGGATTTTTGAGAACAAGTATAACACTATCACCACGTAAAAACATTTTTGATATATAACGATCTTTGTTAACCGGTTTTAATACACTTCCTTTGGCATCACCACCAGCTGCAGCAGCAGCTTTTGCTTTACTTGATTTTGGTGTTTCTTGCCATAATTCTGTAACATCTTCTAAAACCATATTACAATGTCGATCGAATGCTTTAACACGTGCTAATAATTTTCTATTATTTCGACAGGCAATTAATACTTGTGTATTATTTTTAACTGCATCTGTTAATAATGATAATGGTCCAGTACGAAATTCTTCTTCTTCTCGTTGTTTAAGTTCTTCCGGTGTCATCTCTTGTTTAGGTTTTGATATAAGACTTGTTGACATTTTTGTTGATCTTACTTTTTTAAAATGAAATTTAAGCAATAACAAATATGAAATGATTTGTATTTTGTAACACAAAGTGATGAAGAAGAAGACATAAGATTGGTCATGAATTGATTACCCATTTAAAAATAACTGATGTCGCTAGTATCGTAACCAATCACATGAAAACAAATATTAATCGGTCGAGTTGAGTTATTCATTATTCAGTTATTGTTTATTTTATACTCGATAAAATGCCAAACATCCGTGGAGATGCTATGCGCGGTTTAGCCGTGTTTATATCGGACATTCGAAATTGTAAGAATATGAAAAAATTCATTCTTATTTTTCTCTAAATTACCCTGATCTTTTTAATTAGGTAAAAGTCGTGAAGCTGAATTACGACGTATCAATAAAGAATTAACTAATATTCGACAACGATTTCGAGGTTTGAAGTTTTTTTAAATTAGAAAAATTAAATCTAAAACATATTATTTTAATAGCTGATAAAACTCTTGATGGATATCAAAAGAAAAAATATGTATGCAAACTATTATTTATATTTTTACTTGGTCATGATATCGATTTTGGGTATATGGAAGCAGTTAATTTATTAAGTTCAAATAAATATACTGAAAAACAAATTGTTTGTATTAAATAAATTGAAAAAACATTAATCTATAAATAAATATTTAATATTTTAGGGTTATTTATTTATTTCTGTTATTATGAATTCAAGTTCAGAAATGAAACAATTAATTATACAAAATATTCGTAATGATATACAAAGTCGAAATCCAATATTTATTAATTTAGCATTACAATGTGTAGCTAATATTGGTGAACGAGAAATGGCAACTGCATTTACTAATGAAATACCTCGATTACTTATATCAGGGTTTGTTGAAAAACAGTAACACTTTAATGGAACTGTAATTTTTTTTGTTTTGTTTAGAGATACAATTGATCCTGTTAAACAATCGGCTGCTCTCTGTTTATTGAGACTTCATCGTACAAGTCCAGATTCTTTACAATTAAATACAGAATGGACTGCAAGAATTATTCATCTTCTTAATGATCAACATTTAGTAAGAATTATATATATTGAAAACAAATAAATTATTTATTATTTTTCAGGGTGTTGCAACAGCAGCTGTTAGTTTAATTGATGCACTTGTTAAACGTAATCCAGATGAATATAAAGGTTGTGTTAATTTAGCTGTATCACGTTTAAGTCGAGTATGTTTTTTTGCGAATTTATTTTATATATTAAAATATATCAATAGATTGTTACATCATCGTATACTGATTTTCAAGATTATACTTATTATTTTGTTCCAGCACCATGGCTTTGTGTTAAATTATTAAGATTATTACAAAATTATCCACCACCAGGTAATTGATCTATATTCATTTTCGTTGTTTTGTATTTCTTTTTATTTAATTAGATGATCCATCAATTCGAAGTCGTTTAAATGAATGTCTTGATACAATTCTTAATAAAGCACAAGAACCATTAAAATCAAAAAAAGTTCAACATTCAAATGCACGTAATGCTGTTTTATTTGAAGCTATTAATCTTATTATACATATGGATTGTGAATCAACATTACTTGTACGTGCTTGTAATCAACTTGGTCAATTTTTACAAAATCGAGAAACAAATCTTCGATATCTTGCATTGGAAAGTATGTGTTTATTAGCAGCATCGGAATTTTCTCATGAAGCTGTTAAAAAACATCAAGAAACAGTTATCAATGCATTAAAAGTAAGAATAATACTAATAGTAAAATATGACATTTTTAGCTTGGAAGAATAAAATTCCTCAAGGCATCTTACTCTAATATAAATATATAGGATTTTATAAACTCTGAAAATATGAATATGAATTGTTTTAGAGTGAACGTGATGTTAGTGTTCGTCAACGTGCTGTTGATCTTCTCTATGCAATGTGTGATCGTTCAAATGCTGAAGATATTGTACAAGAAATGTTAACATATCTTGAAACAGCTGATTATACAATTCGAGAAGAAATGGTAAAATCAAAAAAAAAATCATTTTCTTGTCTAAATAAATATAGTTATTCTATTTCAAAGGTTCTCAAAATAGCTATATTAAGCGAAAAATATGCAGTTGATTATAAATGGTATTTAGATATTATGCTTAAATTAATTCGTATTGCTGGAGATTTCGTATCTGAAGAAGTAAAATTTCTTTTTATGCTTTAATTATTATTTTTTCTATAATATAAAATTAGGTTTGGTATCGTGTTATACAAGTTGTCGTTAATAGAAATGATGTTCAAAGTTATGCAGCTAAAATAGCTTTTGAAGCTTTACAAGCACCAGCATGCCATGAAAATATGATTAAAGTAGCTGGATATATACTTGGTGAATATGGAAATTTAATTGCACTTGATCCACGATCAACGTAAGAGAATAATTAATAATTTTGTTTTTCTTATGTTTTGATATTTAATTAGACCAATGATACAATTTGAATTACTTCATTCAAAATATCATTTATGTTCACCAACAACTCGTTCTTTAATTTTATCAACTTATATGAAATTTATTAATTTATTTCCAGAGATAAAACAACATGTACAAGATGTTAGTATTCGATTTAATAATAATTATTATTTAATCAATTTCCTGTTTAGATTCTTCGTCATGATTCAAATTTTCGTAGTTCAGATGTTGAAATTCAACAACGAGCAACTGAATATCTTCGATTAAGTGAAATATGTAGTCCAACTGTATTAGCTACTGTATTGGAAATTATGCCACCATATCCAGAAAAACAATCACCATTACTTGTTCGTCTTAAACAAAAGAAACCATTAATGGAAGCTGAACCTTCTGGTGAAACACCTACAACACCAGGTGCACATACAGATGATGGTCCTAAACTTGCTGATACAGCTGTAAAAATGAATATTTTTTTAACGTATGTATATACTTTTATCCTCATAGATTCATCTTAATCAACAACACCAACAACAACAACAAAATGGACTTCTTGTTTCACTCGATACAATTGAATCGAATGGTCATTATAATGAATCAACATCTTATTCACTTCCGTCATCATCAGTACCATCAGCAGCGCCATTACAATCGGCTAAAAAATTGTTATTTAAAAATAGCGATATTATTTTTGAAAATGATATAATACAAATAGGCATTAAAGTTGAAATAATGAAGAGTATTTTACGTGTTGAATTTTATTATGGAAATAAAACAAATTCGAATTTAACAAATATGTCAAGTAGTATTTCATTAGCTGATGAATTAGATCCAGGTAAAAGAAATTCTATTTATTTTTAAATAAAATGTTATTTATTTTCTTCTTATAGATCTTCGAATTAATATGGAACCAATTAAATCATCGATCGATCCAAAAGCACAAATCAAACAAGCAGGAACAATTGAATGTATAAAAGATTATGGAAATCTACCAAAAATGAATGTTGCATTTTTGTAAGAAGAATTTTTATTTATCTATTAAAAGAAAAACAAATTTTTTCTCTTGGGACTTTTTTTTAGTTATAGCAATGTACCACAAAAAATTGATTTTCCACTTCCATTATATATTAATAAATTTATTGAAAAAGCTGAAATGGATTCAAATAATTATTTTCTTCGTTGGCGAAATCTTGATAAGTATGCATCTTACCTATAGCTAATATTCAAGTAAATGAAATTATTCTCAAATTTTATTTCTAGACCTGATCAAGAATGTCAAAAAATCTTTCCTGCTAAATTTCCAATGAATCACAATGAGTGTAGTCAAAAAGTAAGTTTCATTATTTAATTTACCTCATTTAATGAAATATTTTATCCTAAATTTAGTTGGATAGTTTTGGTTGGAGTGATTTAGCAGGAATTGATGTTAATGCGGATAATTTTTGTGGTGCTGGTATATTACATACGACTGCACAACAAATTGGTTGTCTCTATCGACTTGAACCAAATAAACAAGCAAAAGTACATATTTTTATTTTGTTCTATAAAACTATTTCTTCTATATTTATTAATATTAGATGTATCGTCTTACTATCCGAACGAGTAAAGGTGGTGTTGCTGCTCGTCTTGCTGAATTACTTGAAGATCAATTTTAATCAAATTTTTTCATTTTTTTTCTAATGTATCTATCAACAGTGGTTAACATGCATGCATTTACCTCTTTAAACATAGAAACCGCACATTCCTTTTATTGTAATTTTTGCATATAAGAAATTCCAAGAGTAAAGAAAAAAAAACACATCATGTTAATCGGATGCGCAAATCAATCTTAATCAAAAATATATAATTATTATTAATTTATTTTCAATTTGTCGTGCAATAGATATCTTCCTTATAATCAACTATTATTTTTACCGGTCATTGTATCTTAAAATGTTCCTTTTTTCTTGTCGTATGTTGCGCAGCATCAAAAAAGAAACATTTCTATATGTTGTCTTTGTTTGTATTTTGATTGTTAGGAAAAAAAAACGGTCTTTTAACCCCATTTATATATGTCTTTTTTCTCTATGTGTGTGTGTGTGTTTATGTAGAGTCTCAATGTCACCTACTGTGATTTCGTGATTTTGCCACGTGGTCGACGACCTTATTTTCGTTTCTTCTTCTGTTGGTCTCGTTTCTTTTTTTTTATCATATTCACTTATCTATTCGATTTCTATCAATATTATTATATCAAAAAAAAAGGAAAAATAGAATTTTTTGTCACTAATTATATATTCTTTATGCAAAATAATGAACTATGTCTGAAGCCATATGCATCAGTCTATATATAGAATAAAGAATACTTTTTACTTGATTAATAAAAGATTTTTCTTTTATATTAATATGTAGAGTCATGAAATAGAAACGTTCATTAGTACGAATCTCTAGGGAGGAAAACATAAAATTCACATCTTTCGTACGAATAAAAGATATTTGTTTGATTATCAAAGATGTTTTATCTTATGACAAGTGCAATTTATATTAACACATAATAGATGTAAAGCTTTCATCGTTGCATGTGTCTTATGTCATTATTGATCTGAAGTGAGAAAACTTACCTTAAAACAAAAAGTAATATTTTGAAATTAGAAAATTACCATTTTATGTGAAGTTACTTTTAGTGCTAATAAAACATGATAATTGACAATTATCGAATAAGTAGGAAGAGTGAATCAATACAGTGATGATTATTTCATCAGTTCAGACTAGAATAACGCTGTAATTGTGATTTCTGTATAAAAAAAAGATACTCTTGTAATACGGCAAAGAGTCTTGATAGTTAATTCGTTTAATATCAAGGTTATCCTTTGTATTCCTGCTTTTTATAGAAAATCAACAAAAGGTCCACATCGTTCTAAACGATGTGTAGAAAATTGTTTATAGTAGTGCTCAGACACATTTTAAAGATTAGTTTCGTTCATTATCAATAGTGCTGTTAGAGCCCAACAGCCATTAATTCTAGCAAAATATAATATTGACTATCAAATCATCAATACGAAAAGTCATTACTCTCTCTCTCTATATTCAATACAACAATATGCATGTGATTCAAGTATATATTGTGTTTACATAGTCAAAAATTTTTACAATGTATAATTATTCAAACTGTTTCTTTCTCACTCTACATTCATTAATTTGATTCATTATAAAACATTTAATGTTTAATGATCTGTAAATGGCAAATCTTGTCGTTTTGTTTTTTTTTCAATTGAAACACTCTTAAAGCTTAAATTAGTTGTTTGTTTTTGTTAATCACACTATTATTCATTGGAAGGTTAAAATGTACATGAACTAAATTGTCATTTATTCTTTACAATCTATTCAATATGATACGAAGATTTTTTTTTTTTACTTTTCTTGTTCTTTGAATAAATACAAACGAACAACAGAAATAAGTTTGACCGCGTATACAATTGTAGGCTGTGCATATTCATTGTATGTTAATCTTGCTTTCGGACGATGACCGAAATGATTACAAAATGTATACATACACAAACGAATGAGAAAGAATAAAGAGTACAATATGTTTGATAACAACTATTAAATAATCACTGATAGAGTACTCATTGAAACAAAACAAGGTAAATGTATATTTTTTTCATTATTAACAGATGCATATAACATATGATCGAATATGAGAAATAGAAGAAGGAAAGAGTTTCCCCTCATTACTCTCTATCTTAAAATATAAGTAAAATGAGTGTTGTTTTCACCTTGTAAAAAATATCATTCTATAAAAACAATCTGAAACCCAACACTATTTATTAATAAATCTAGACTATCAATATACAATTCGACTAATTTCTCTAAAAGTAAATATTATTATTCTCTCTCTTTTGTGTATATATAAATATGCATAAAATCAATCAATAAGGCGTCATATCTAATTTAAATAGAAATCAATATGTTTTAGTCATGAATGTAAATCAATATTTCTTCTTCTTTGTATTTATTCTTATTCAACAAATAATATTAATAAAAACTTATACATTTAATTCATCAATTGATAATTTACTTTATGTTACGAATACTTCAACATTATATGCAATATCATCATCACATTTACATCAATTACATTGGTCAACAACAAATCAAACATTATTATTACTTCATCGACGTGTACAACTTCATTCATCACTTGATAATGTTGAAAATGGTGTTAGTGTTTTTCTCTATGATTCATTACGACATTTATTAATAATATGTTCACGTTCATTAATTGGTCGTTGTATATTCTATGATGCCGATGATATAAGTCGAATATATATTCTTGATTCAACAATTGAAACAAATTATCTTGGTTGTTTATCGGGTTGTTATACATTTTTATCATCAAATATAATTCGTTCAGCTTTAATAGGAAATCGTCGTGATAGAAATGGTAATATAATAAATTCACAAATTGAATTAAATAAAGATTTACACTATTTTAATATAAAATATCAATTTCAATCAAGTGATGATACATTAATAACATCATTAACATTTTTACCAGAAAAAATATCAAATATTGAATATATTTATGGGTTTGATTATCAACAATATACATATTATTTACTTAAATCTTCACGTTTAGCACGATTATGTCAAGCATCGATTGCAATGCATATGAGTTATGAAGAAATTCCATTGATAAATTGTCGGAATAAATCAACAATTATTACCGGAGCTTTTTATTTAAATCAAAATTTTGATTATTTATATATTATTTATGAAAATACAATTTGTGTTTATACAATGAATGAAATAATACGAGCATTCGCAGCATCAAAAATACAATGTCAAAATGGTATTGGTTATCGTCTTACACATATTATTGAAAATGATGAAGGTGGACGATCGAAATGTGAAAAAGTAATTGATTACAATATTTGAGAAAGAAGTTTTGTATTGTATTTATATCTTAGACAATCGAACAAAATTTGAATGAAATCAATCAGTGTACTTGGCAACCCTATCGAATAAATACATATATGGATGGTACTGTCGGTGCTATTGGAGAAAGACTTTATCAAAGTGTAGATTCAAATGTAAAGATTATATTTATTTTTACTCAAGATAATATTGTTGTTATTGGTACAAGCCAACGACATGTTCTCAAGGTATTTAGATTTATACGATTGTCAGTTTAATGAGATAGAAATAATTGTGATGTCATTTACATTTGATCAGTTTCGGTTTAATGATTCATTCTGTTCTATTAACAAGAAATCAAATTCTATTTCTAGTTTATTCGTTCTAATCAAACTATTCTTCATCTTGTTCATGAAGCAATCTATTATAATGAACCATTTAATAATCAATATGTTGTTGATTACGAACATGAATCTCTTATATTTGCTGTTGGTATTGAGGTATTTTATCTTTTTATTTAAAATTTTTGTAAATCAATATTATTGTTTAGCTTCATCGTTATGCTTATAATTCATGTTCTCTCTATGATACATGTCAATCATGTATTGGTAGTCGACGTTATGATAATAAACCATGTATTTGGTCCAATGGTAGATGTTCTTTATCTTCTAATTCAAACATAAATGATCGTGGATGTCCATTAATAATTAATGAAGTTTGTTTTTATATTTAATTATTATTTGATATTGAATTTATTGATAGATTCAACCAATGAATGCTGATGTAAATATAGAATCAATTACATTGACGATCACCGGTTCATTTGAAGGAGTTCAAGCACATTTAGTAACTATTCTTGTAACATTTCCATTATCAAATCAACATGATTTTGTTTGTACAATTGAACATATACAAAATGACAGGTTTCTTTCAAAACAAAATATTTAATTTTGAAATGATCGTTTTCTTCTCTAGTTTAACTTGTAATTTAATTATTCCAAAACAACCAGTTCAAGGAATTATTTCAATAAATATTAAATCTGACAGGGAATTATCTATGGGTGATACTGATATTTTTGGTTCTGTTAATTTTCCAGAGAAATTTAATATTTATGTAAGGATATGAATTTAATTTCAAAATAAAACTTTTCATTTAGATTCCAAAAGCAATTCTCAAACCTGATTATGGTCCAGCTATTGGTGGAACAAAAATTCAAATAGAAAATTTAGATTTTAATCTTTATTCAACTGTAAAAATTCATTTAGGCAAACAAGAATGTCAAATATCAAAATATGATTATTCAACTAATGAAATTGAATGTATTAATCAAGCTTGTATGAATGATAAAGAACGACTGGAATTAAATATTCAAGTTAATAATCATCAATGGCAATTAGAAAAAACATATTTTCAATGTCGTGCTAATCCGATTATATTTGATTGGTATCCGAAAAAATCGATAATAAGGTATTTAATTTAGATTTACAAGATAAAACTTCAATCTGCAAATTTATTTCTAGTGGAGGAATGAAATTGATTATATCTGGTCAAAATCTTGATGTAGTACAAAAACCTATGATGAAATTTATTTATAATTCTTCAATTTTTGAATTTATTACAGTAAATTTCGAAAGGAATAAAAATAAAATATCTTGATTTGGTATTTTATAGGTATGTGAAATTATTTCAACAGCACAAATGATTTGTTTATCACCAATAATTGATAAAAATCTCGATTTAATTCCACCATTTGATATTCATGTATCATTTATTATGGATAATATGAAAATAATACCTGAACATGATATTTTAATAATTATTGTTGATCCAATTTATTATCCATTTGAAGATTCTATTCAACAAATAAATTCATCAAATATTGTTCAATTTGAAGTAGATAGAAGATTTTCATATTACGATATATGTTTTCTTGTATTCATAGGGATTAAATCTTACTGAAACACATTCAATTGGTGAAATCAATATAGAAATAGATAGCATTAATAATGCTTGTATTCCATTTAATTTTACTGATACTCAATTGTTATGTTTATTATCGAAAAATGCTATGAATAATTTTGAAAATTCTGATCTACATGTTCGAGTATGTCTCAGATTCGTAGTATATACGTATAATAATTCTGTTTTCTTAGATTCATGTAGGTGCTAATTTAACATTTTCAATTGGAAAAATTTTATTTCAAAATCAAAGTCAATCATTACCATTATTAACACCATACATGTCTGAACAATTTGGTCCAATGACAACATTAATTTTCATAGTTCTGTCTTCATTAACAATTCTAACTCTTCTCTTTACATTAGTAATTTTAACTCGTCGTCGTTTTTATCATGGTTCTCAAGAATTTCATAAAGAAACTAAACCACCACAATATTATCAATCAATTTGGTCGGAGTTGGGTAAAAGTCGACAGATCATTCGGAAAAATCTTATAATTCATGAAAAAGTTGGTCAAGGTTGTTTTGGTGATGTTTATCGAGGCGAATTAAAACAAAATAAAAATAAATCCCTTGAAGTTGCTATTAAAGTTTCACGTGATCAAAATGTTTCGTCAATGCATGAATTTTTATACGAAGCTAATCGTATGAAAGATTTTTCTCATCGAAATATTCTTTCATTAATTGGTGTTACATGGGATCCATCTCGTAAAGCAATGGTACTTTTACCATACATGAAAAATGGTGATTTAAAAAGTTATATATCAAATGAAAAACATCAACCAACTGTACGACAATTAATAACATGGGCTATTCAAGTAGCTGATGGAATGGAATATCTTTCTTCATTGAAATTTGTTCATCGAGATTTAGCAACAAGAAATTGTATGTTAGATGAACAATTAATATGTCTTATATCAGATTTTGGTCTTAGTCGAGATGTTATCGATCGAGATTATTATGTTGTACCAACAACAACAACAAAAGAGAATGATGGAAAATCAATTCCAATGATGCCAAGACGTTTACCTCTGCGATGGTTAAGTCCAGAATCTATTGAATCATCAAAATATACAATTCAATCTGATGTGGTTAGTTTGATTTATATTAAATTTTAAGATTTTATTTTTTGTTTTTTTAGTGGTCGTTTGGTGTTCTTCTTTGGGAATTAATGAGTCGTGGTAAAACACCCTATCCAGGTATTGATAATGCAGATCTATTGACTTATATAAAAAATGGTTATCGTCTTCAAAAACCAACATATTGTCCGCCTTTATTATATAAATCAGCAATGGCTCTTTGTTGGCATATTGATCCAACACAACGTCCAACATTTACACAACTTGCTCATGATATTCGTCATATACTTCATCAACTTGAAGTTGAACAACAACGAAAACAATCATCATCTGCTGATGATGATGATACAACTATTGTACAACGTTATCCAATAGAAAGAAAACTAAAACAATTATCAACAACATCATTATCATCTACGAGTAGTATTGGTGGACAATATATAACTACACCTCATCGTCAATCAGAAAATATACAACTACTATTTGATCGAAAAGAAGGTGATGATGATGATGAAGATGCATATGCAGTACCAGTGAATGCGAGTGCTGAAGTGTTTAGTACAACTAGACTATTACCAGAATATACTGAAACGAGCATTGTAGAAGATGTTTAATTGTGAATATTTAAATTTTTGTGTGCATTTGTGATATTCATCATTTTGTTTTTTTTATGTTAGTGTATTGTAACCTATGTTTTCTAAATTGTGAAGAACTTGTTTATATCAATTTATTTATTATTTATTTAGCAATATTAATGATAGTCGAAGAGTAATGGATAATTCAGAATTTCTATTCAATTTAAATAAATTCGACTATAATTGAATCCAATAATATTTATGTTAATATAGAATGTAATATTTCAATAAGACTCGCCATAATATCTACGACTATTGATTTTTTCAATCATTAACCCTTTCAGGACCGGCTTAGATTGAAAAAAAATTATAAATTTTAAACTTTTTAAAAATGATTTATTTTTGCCAGATTCATCAAAAATGTGAGGGTGTGGATATGGATATGTATACTTATCTTCTCCTAACCTATACCCACACCCGCACCCTAATAAAAGATTAATCAATAGATATTGTAAACTTATAATGTAAAATAAAATACTGTCTTAATACTTTCACAACTTCTCTAACATTATTTATTTCATTAAAATACTTTTTCGATACAAAAAGTTGATTATTGAAATTTTCTATAAAATTAGATATAATTTAATTCAAATTTAATTTCATACATATTAGAGAAAAATAAAATTAGTAAAGACACTTTCATGCTTATAGATGTAAAAATATTTATTTATTTTCAATGAAGTAGTCGAGCAATAATTATTGTACGTTGTTTTGAGCATTTAGCATTGTATAGTAAATTCCACCTTTTTGTATTAGTTCTGTATGAGTACCACTTTCTACTATACGACCCATTTCAAGTACATATATTAAATCACATGAACGTATTGTTGAAAGACGATGTGCAATAATAATTGATGTTCGATTAGGATCTTCTATTTGAGCTTGATCAAGAGTTTCTTGCACTATCTTTAATTACAAATGTTAATTATATATATAAAAGAAAATCAATTTACTTGTTCATTATATGGATCCATAGCACTTGTAGCTTCGTCTAATAACAGTATTTTAGGTCGACGAATAAGAACTCGAGCAATAGCAATACGTTGTTTTTCACCACCTGATAAAAAACTACCTTTTACTCCAACTTTTGTTTCATAACCCTATGACAATATAAGATTAAATTATTAAACAAAATCAATGTAATTTTATATTAATCGAACTTGAGGTAATTGTTGAATAAATTCATGAATATTAGCTTTAGTTGCAGCAAGAACAATCTCATTCATTGGTATATTTTCTAATCCATATGTAATATTTTCAGCAATTGTTAAATCAAATAAAACTGGTTCTTGACTAACAACACCCAAACGAGAACGAAGCCATTGAAGATTTAATTTTCGAATATCAACACCATCAAGAAGCTAGTTTATATTAATATCGTTTATATAAGTAATTGAATTATATATATAGAAAAGAGATACATACCAATTCTCCATGTGAAACATCATAAAATCGTTCTAATAATTGAACGATTGTTGATTTTCCACATCCGGATGAACCTAAATCGATTATATTATATGATTAAGACACTAGAAAGCATAATTTATTTAAACATACCAACAAGAGCTATACGTTGACCTGATTTAATAGATAATTGAAGTTTATTGAGAACAAGAACTGCTGGACGACTTGGATAAACAAATTTAACTTGATTAAAGTCTGTTTCTCCACTAAAGTTAGTCTAATCGATTCAAGATTAAAATTTATAATTGGAAGGCAAAAGCTTTTTTTTTCTTTTACTAATTCTTGTCCTTTATTCGATCCATTATCAATAGCTGGTGTTCGATCAAATAGATCAAAAAAAGCGTGAGCAGCAGCATATGATGCACCAATACGTTTTGCTCTGAAATGAAAATAATAAAAACGAAAACAAAATAGAAATTGTATAACTTACAACATTCCAACAACTTTTAGTGCTTCTAATGCGAACATTCCAAAAGCAGAAATCCTACAAAAATAAAAAAGATAACAAAACTTAATTTATAAATTATCACAATTCTTGTTTTAGTTACATAACAACATCGCTCATGTCTAGTTCATTTTTTTCAACAAGAATCAAAGCACGCCAATACAAGAGTCCTAAAGTCAATGGGCTCATTGCCCAGTACAATCCATGCATTGCAGCAAACAGTATCTCAGATCTCCAAGACATTCTATACAAAAGAAAATTTATTGAAGATTGAAGTCAATATCTGTAAAAAAAGAGAGCTATAATCGATTTTATTCGTTCATTATCGATATAAAAGAGCATGCTTTTGACAAAATTAATCGAGATTCTTTAAACTAATCGGAGTTTTGTTTATTATTTTAGATATATTTAGATTTTAATTTAGATCTACTATGACAAGAAAATAAACTTACTACAATCAAAACAACTACATCATCAAATTTCACTCAAGTTTTGATTTTACTATTATTTTTTCAGTTAGTTTTTACGATTTTTCAGATATACATATATAGATAGTATTCACAAGACTAACATTAATACTTGATCAATCATATTCGTATATTGTCGTAAAACTTCATTTTCCATTGATAATTGTTTTACTGTACGCATATTGGTAATAACTTCAACAGCAAGCTAAAAAAGACAAAACATAGAATGAATATTTAATAATCGTTTCATCAAATAATACATAATAACATAATTCTACTACACATTAAAAGATTAGAGATAACAAGATGACTTTACCGTGCTAGCTTGAGAGTGAATGAGATCAGATTGTGTTTTTAACCATGAACTCAACCGCATTTGAATAATAGTAATGATCATCATGATAACGAAAGGAATAAATATGATTATTGTTAATTGCCAGTTATAATAAAGGCCAAGTACAAAGCCAAAAAAAGACATGGATAAAGCTTGACAGATAACACCTAATCTTGAACCAGCCATGTCTTCAATAGCAGCTGCATTAGAAGAGAGTTGAGTACATATAGCACCAGAACTGTTTTCAGGTCGATCAAAATAAGCGGCTTCTTGACGAAGAAAACATCCGAAAGCTTTTGAACGAATGCGGCTAACTAATTTCGCTCCTGCGACTCCAAAAGCTACAAACTATAAACAAACATAAAAAACTCACTAATGTAGTTTAGAAATAATATGATTACTTGGAAAAAATTAAGAATCATAAAAACAGCGCCAGTAAGAAGAAATAAACCGCATGCAATTAACACTCGACGACGTACATCAGTGTATTTACAATCATTAAATTCCTAAATAAAAGAAAATTCGACAGAAAAAGACATCTTTTATCTTTTCTTGGAGTATTCATATGAATAAAATTACTTACATTAATTGTTGTTGCGAATAGAATCGAGAACGCTGGTCCACGTAATCCACCAAGTAAACATGCTAAACAACCAATCAAGATAAACATCCATTCAGGACTATTCATCTTCATGAGTCTTAGAAAGATAGATTTTTCTCTTGCTGGTATAGAAGCTCTCTAAAAATTTATACATTGATAATGATTTTTCAAAGTTATCAGATATTTATTTTTACCCGATTTATATCAATTGATTCGCTCTCACTCAATAATCGAGCACGTCCCACTATTCCAAAAAACAAAACAGACTAGAGTTTATAAAATATAATAATTATTAATATTAGAATAGTAATATACAGATTTGTTCTTCATCTTCAACTGCTGCTTTTGCCATATTCATCAAGCTATCTTGTTTATAAATCGTTGTTTCAGATTGTTGCATTTTGACCATTGTTTGATACTTACCTCCTTCTTTTGCCAATAATGTTTCATGTGTACCTTCTTCAATTACACTTCCTTTATCTAATACATATATGTAATCGGCATTTTGAATCGTAGTTAAACGATGAGCAATAACTATAGTTGTACGATCTATAGTATAATAATAATATAATCAATAGTCATTGAATAATTCTTACTTTTGCATGCTCGATCAAGTGCTTCTTGGACAATTTTTTCACTAACATTATCAAGTGCACTTGTCGCTTCATCTAACAAAAGAATGCTGGGTTGTTTGACAAGTGCACGAGCTAATGCAATACGTTGCTTTTCACCACCGCTCAATTGTATACCACGTTCACCAACAAGTGTTTCATATTTCTGCAAACAAAAATATTAACATATACATATAGATAAAGACAAACCTTTGGTAATTTCATAATGAATTTATGTGCATTAGCTTGTTCTGCAGCATGTTCAATCTCTTCACGTGTTGCATTCAATTTACCAAAACGAATATTTTCATAAATACTTATTCCAAATAGAATCTATTCTAATATAAAAGTTTGACAGAGACTAAAAAAGAAAACGAAAGAAACCTACAGGTTCTTGATTAACAACTCCAATATTTTGACGAAATTGTTTGATTTTATAATCTGTAATTGATTGACCATTCATTATAATTCTTCCTAAGGAAGGTTCATAATAACGAAGAAGAAGTGATACACATGTACTTTTTCCTATCAATCAATTTCAATATTAAAATGGTATGTTTGTTTTAGAAACAAAAAGATTTACCACAACCACTTGAACCTACAAGAGCAGTTGTTTGATTAGCACGAGCAACTAATTTAAGGTTATTCAAGGCTGTTGCATTTTCTCTAGATGGATAAGAAAAAGTAACATTATCAAATTCAATATCACCATTGATATTGGAAATCGATTTTTCATCAGATGTATTCTCTTGCAATATTTCTCTTTCATTAATATTTTCATCATGTGCCTATATCATAAAATAAATTAGAAAATATAATTACCAAGATTTAGTCTCTATAGTATTTAGTGTATTTTACCTCATCAATAAGTCGAAATACGGATACTGCTGCACCTTGAGCTTCCGAAATTGATTGGAAGAAAGGTCCAATTGAATTAAGAAAACCTAAAGCTTGTGCAAACATATTCACAACCTAAACAAAAGTTCGTTTTTCAGTTACTTTCTTGCATATTAATGTCATAGCTCACTTACAACAAGAATCTCACTAATGGTCAGTGTACGATGATTTCCATAAGACATAAGAATCGAACCAAAAGTGAAACCAATTGAATAAACTAGAAATTTTATAAAAAACAGCCAACCAGTAAAACTACCAAATGCAGCATCTTTGCGAACAGTATACCATTCGTTTAATTTTAATTCTTTTTCATATCTAGATAAAGATAAATATGACAGTAAAATAATATACAATAATCTGTAAATGTTTGTTTATTTATTTACTGTTTTTGCTGCCATTTACTTCCATTGAATGAAAGAACAGTTCTTAATGAACTAAATACTTCTTGAGCGATTTGTCCAGCTTTTGAATATGTACTTAATTGTTCTTCTGTTTCTTTTGTGATGATCTGTAATTATTGATAAAATTTTAGCGAATTAAATAATAATTTATACCTTAGCAAACATCACTGAACTACCAAGAATAATTGGAATCATACAAGACATAATTAAAGACAATTGCCAATTGAGAATAAAACATATGATTATACTGAAAATCATGGTATGAAGAAGTGCAATTGCTATTAAGAATTCAAAACCTATTCCGTTTTTGATCTTTTCAATATTACTGTAAAGAAAATCGATCATATATAATTGTTTGTTATAAAGTTATTTAATTTGCTTACGTAAAAAGCTTCGTATTGTAGTGAGTAGTTTGGTTTGTATCCAAGTAAGTCATGTTCTAAAAAATGAAAGAGAAATAATAGATTATTTTATCTTAGATCATAATTTAACAAGTATACGAGTGTATTAAAAATTATGAGTTCATCATTATCATTATCATTTTCTAATTAATTAGTTAAAACTATTTCTAAATTTTATCAATAATAAGATTCTCTGTTTTTTCTACAGTAAAACTACCTTCAACATGATCTTTGAGATTCATTCGTATTAGCATCTTCGTCTCTTATATATTTTGAATTGATTATTTTCATAATTTAATTGATATACTAACGATGTTTTTAGAATTATTAGTTTGTTGATTAGAGAAATATTTTGAAAAAAGAAAATGAGAAATCGAGACCAAAATGAGCTACTTAATTTTGTTTTATTTTTGACACGACGTAACAGAAATAAATACAATAAACTGTATTTTAACCAGTTTAATTGTTGATAATCACTTATTTTATGAGTATAAAAAAATCTTTTTACTTACACGTTGAATAAGTGATCGAAAGAGTAAAACGCTCATGCGAGATGTTTGTCGTTTCGTAGCAATTGTCCAACAGAAATATTCAAGAAAACAACATAGAAATGCCAAAATACTGAGACCTACATTGATATAGAGAAATAACAACTGGTTTGTTTTTTTAATTAAAATCATCCTATTCAACAAACTTACCAAAGAACCAGTAAATTAGATCCATAACATTGTCATGAAATAAAGGTGTTAATGGAGCTAATGTGGATGAAATAGTTTTATTATCATAATGGCATAGCCTACGAATGAAAAATTTCAAAAGATTCAAAATCAAAATATTTTTCAATAAATGACTTATGTAATCGATCATAATTTAATGGATTAAGATCAATACCAAGAGGACATGCAGTATTATTGATAATTGTAGATGCTAAATTTTGATATTGATTATGACAATCAACAGCAAATGATGCAGTGGCAAATAATCCCGTAATTCGACCAAAAAGAATTACATTTGCGAGAATACCAACTACACCCCCCAACATGAAACACAGAGCAAGAATTATAAGAAGAATATCAATACAATCAGCAAATTGAAACTATCATTAAATGAAATGAATTAATTCGTATATATATAAATGTTATAAAAGAGAAAAACAACATGCTTTCAACTTAATATATATTATATTTGAATATACGTACCAATTGAAAAACACCAACTGGAATATCTTTAGTAGTTTGGTTGATTTCACCATTTAACTTTTTATTGTTAGCATCAGTCTTTTGCTGTTTGAAATATTGACGCCACTCAGAAAAACTATAAATAATGATGAGTTATTATGTGTTTATCAATATTATATTTTTTTAAATCGTACCTTTTGTTTTCATTGTCACTATCATTGTCATCAAGTAATTTGTTATGTTTCTTTAATAGTGGCTCTTTATCACTCATGTTCTTCTTTTTCTTTTCAAATATAAACTATTATGAAGCATGAAGCTTATCAAGGGTCTATATGTATTGGTGTAAATAGTGATTGAATACTCTTTACTTCACTGATTTTGCGTTCTGTACCTATTTTATCTGTTTTCTCTCATATTATCAAAAAACGTGGGCAACACTATGTAAAAGGCAGAAATTTTCTAAATTTTTTCATACATGCAAATCTAATTAATATTTTCTTCTTACCTGCCGCGTAGGAGTAATACGTTGTCATTAAAGACTCAGAGATAGTAAATTTAATGATTGATAAAGATTAAAAATAAATGAGAATATCATATGTAAAAAGGCGTTCAAATCTAATTCTAAAGCATTTATAGATAAAAAAAATAAAAAATAAATTATCGATTACTTTTAATCTCTATGCAATCATGAAGCTTTAAGTTAAAGTTTTATTAATGGTAAAAAATCAATAAAATAAATTAAAGAGGTATGAGAAGTCAAAATCATCAAACCAGTTCTACAATAAAATTTATATATATTTATAATAGATACAATTTTCTTTTAAGATTGCTATTTATTTCCAAATAGTTACATATTACTAATGATATTTTCTATAAAACTAGATATAATATTCGTTAATAATACGATTTTTTATTTACCATACTCTTTCTTTGTTTATTTGCTTAAAAATAAGTTAGCTTTCGAAATGCATTGCATTTCTTCATTAGACATTTTTTTTACTATACCTAACATTCGACATATTCATATATACATATTATAAAGAGACATTGTCTTTGTTTTTCCCTTGTTAAACATTAAATAATGATAGAGGAGACAAGACGGTAAGAGTAACTAAGTCGTGTTCGAAATTTTGCCTGTGTTACTATGAAACTTTTAACAAAGACAATGTCTCTTTATAATATGTATATATAAATGTGTAAAATGTCATATACAGTAAAAAAATGTGTAATAAAGAAATGTAGTGCATTTCGAAAGCTAACTTGTTTCTAAATAAATAAACAACGAAAGAGTATGGAAAATAAATGTTAATTAACCTTCTTCAATCGAAAAGAATAATCATATGATTTTTATTTACAAATCAATTGATTATACATAAATAATTGTTTCGACCTTCATTATAATATCGAGTTAGAAATATATTTATTCAACATAAACTAAAATTTATAATGTCATTCATGTTAAAGGAATGTACTTATACATTGGTTATAACTCATGAATCTTTAAAATAACGAATTTCTTAAACATATTAGATATTTTTAAATGAATGAATGAAATATTATTGTTTGGAAAGAGTTAGAAAAGAATAATAGAAAAATAATGACTTCATATTTGTCTGATACTTGATTTAATTCTGTTCCTTTGGTTTGTATCAAGGAACTTATTGTATTTAGATAACAAAAATAAAGAGAATGATTTATTTCTTTTGATTTTTCTATTAAAACCGAAGGGGAAAGACGAATGAAAAATATCGAATAATACATGTGACTTAATAGTACAAATGAAACGTTTTGACGACAGTATCCTGTTCTCCTATCAAGGAGCAATTGTGTGACCTCAAGCAGGAATGCGTCAAACACATGGAATTAGAACGAAAATGTGTTTTTATAATCACATTGCTTTCATTAAAGTACATTCTACAACTTATACAAAGGAAATTTTGCGAAATAGTCACGAAATAATTGATTTATGTATACTTATTATATTGTCAAAATTATTGATTAAAATCGTATGAAAATAATCGATTATTTTGTAACTATTTATCAAAATCTTCCTTACATGGGAAAAACACACAAAATAATAACACAGAGAATTTCTCAATCCATGTTTTCATTCATTCATAGAAGTTTAAAAGAACTAGAGAGAAATACTTATACTTGTACGTTTTATCTGAAAAAGTACAAGTACTTGCGTCCTAGCCCTGATTTAAATTATGAGAAAATGAATGTTTTTCTTATCTTTTTTTTTGTTCTATGATAAATTAGATGAATGAACATGATGCAAATACTTTTTTATTCAAGGTTACAAAAGCAAATAAATATTATCAACGAAAAGAAAAGAATATCTAATTTTCTTCTATTACTTCGTTTCTATTCGTATAATGTATAGGAGAAAAAACAAGTATGTATCCAACGTTCTCCGTCACAAGAAAAAAAACGAAATTATCTTTTTGACGTCATCAGATAACTGGAGAAAAATATAATTTGATAAATAATTAAGTAATGTTATACATGAAAAATGTGTTTTTAGAAGAAAAGAAAAATGATATTTTCATGAATTTTAAATTCGTTTATTATTGAATTTATTTTAATCTTCAATAAAATGTTTAAATAAATAATTTTGATCTGCTTGATTCGAATAAAAATGTGACCTTAGCTGTATTTGTATTTATCTATCAATCACATAATCAAAAGAGAAAAAAACATTTTCTAACGAACAGATTTGATTATCCATAATTACGAAGTAAGAAAAAGCAAGGCTTGTTTTTCTATTGATTTTCATTAAAAAAAATGTCTATTGAATCATTTGATATTCTAACAATTGAAATAAAAGATAATGAAATGAATGATTTATTAGAATATCTTTATCAAAATGAATCATTATTAAAAGAAAATGGTGCAATAAAATTAATTCCAACATCAAATTTTAAAAATCTATTAAAAAAAACACCAATAAATATTCCATTATGTTCAACAATTCAAGAAGTTAAACAAATTCATAATGAAAATTTAATTTATTCAATAAAAACAAATTCATTGAATGAAAATAAAGAAAAAAAAGAAAATAATTTAATAAATGATGATGAAATATTTTGGTTATTATTACCAAATGGTTCAAATACACAACATATCTCAAGTATTTCTCAAATTAATTCACAATCATTATTTTTAAAACGTGTTCAACGTGATCAATTTGATTTTCATCAATTACCTTTCAAATCACTTTTAAAATTATCTGGAAAAAAATTTTGTAATCAATATTCATCAACATTAATCAAAGCACATGGACCTGCTGCAATCTTTCCATTATCTTCAAATAAACAAAATCTTTATCAATTAAATTATCATCATGAAGGTAGACTTCGTTATTGGTATATAATTCCATCAGAAGAAAGAAAGAAATTTGACGATTTATTTACAGAAAATCATCCATCAATATGTATCAAACATGATGAAATATTAATTGATCCATTATTATTTCAGAAATATGAAATAAAATATAAAAGAGTAATTCAAAATTCAGGTGAAATTCTTATTTTATCTGGAGGAATTCTTTCACAAAGTTTTACTCAACATGAAATTTTGTGTGAATCAATTCATTTTAGTTTACCATCTTGTTTTTATAATGAACTTACTGTAAATTCTTCAGTATGTCATTGTAAATTATCTGCAAGTTCAAATCAAGATGAATCAATTGATTTAAATTTATATAATGATGAAACTATTCAAGGATATATTCAAAAATATCTTCAACTCAATATTCATCAAAGTAATTTCTTTTTATTTAAAAATATTTTTAAAAAATTTATTTATTTAGATAAAGATTCTACATTAGATAAAGATACATCATTTCTTATTAATATCAATGAGTAAGTTCGATTTGAAAGATTGATTCAAAGAAATAAATTGAATATTGAGAGAAGATTTTTTAATGGATGTCTGTGATGAACCAATGAAATTATCACAATTTCATAATGAAACTGATTTTAATGAATTATTTTCATCAGAAGATTTTGGAAATTATATTTTTATGAATAATAATCAATCTGTATCTTTAACTTCTGAACAAATATTAAATATTCTTGATATACCATCATCATCATTATCATCATCTAATGAACAATCAATAAATGAACAAATTTATTTAAAAAATAAGAAATTATCAGTAAGTTTAGATATTTTATTCATTCTTTTATATTTAAAATCTAATTAATAAATAGAAAATAACAAAGCATGATGAATTTATAATAAAAAGGAACAATAATCAATCTGAAATAGATGTGAAGAAAATCTTATATTTATCAAATTTAAATAAACAAATAACAAAAATTGATCTTCGATCTTATTTTATTGGTTCAACAAAAATTATTTTAAAACAAAGTCAATTACCACCATATCTTAATTATGCATTTATATTTCATCGGACAAATCTTCAAGCTGAATATAATCGAAAACGAGTAATTAATTCTTTACCGTTTGGATCAAATTGTCAAATAGAATTTGTTAAAAATCTCGATGAACTTTCAAATGAAAATAAAGTTAATGAAAATTGGAATATTGTTATTAAACAAATACCTGAAAATATTACTGAAAATGATTTAAAGAATTTATTTTCTAATTCGTATCAAATAAAATATATTCCAGCAAAAATTGTTCAAAAATCAAATACAAATAAGAAAATTTTATTTGGGTAAATATTTCTATTTAAAATATTTTAATTATTAACATTTTCTTTATGATTTAGATATGCATTTTTATCTTTTACAAATACTGAACAAGTTGATCAAGTTATGAACAATGCCAATAAATATCAAATAAATAATCAAACATTGATCTTATCTTATTATAGCAAAATAGAAGCTAAGAAATAATTTTTTACATAGTTTTTTCTATGTTGTATTATTTCAGTGAATTCTTATAAATGATTTTTAAAAAAATAAATTAGAAAAATCTCGAATTTTAGTAGAGAATATTCGAAATAATTTAAAAGAGAGATATTGACTTACCATTATGTTGTATTGGTTCATATTTCATCCAAACATATTTTATTGATTTAAAAATAAGAGACGTTCAGAGTATACATAATGTATCCAAATGCATTGGTGAATAGAAAAGTTTTGTATTAGTGATGATACGAAACAAAGTATTTGATATGTTATTGCATATAAAATTGATTTATTTTAATATGATGATTATCTAACATATGTTGTCGATTGCTCTTTCGAAAAAATGACTCTTAAATAAAGAGATACATCTCACTTAGATACAAATCGGTGATAGAACGGGTAGTATACGAAAATTACATTTTTAAATAAAAAAAACTATTTCTTTATCACACCGAAATCACATATTTAACGCGTTTTGCTAGATAAAAACGTCATAAAAAGTAGGGAATGAACCAGTTCGCATACGAAAGACTAAACAGATATAACTCGTTCAAAAGTAATGCTGTGATATTTATATCTTGATCGATTTTAAGGAACTTAACATGTCTACAATGATATTATTTTTTTTTCGAATGTTAGTCCTCCCAATACTGTTAAGCTTTGTATCAAAACATGGGACTGATACGTCCTTGAAATGATCCAAAATAAGATTTTTAGAACGTTTAGAATTCGATTTCATATTTTAAAAAGTTTTTTTTGTAGGAAATCAACATCAAATTCATAATTGTGCAAATATTATCACTTCTCACTCACTTTTTTCATGCGTATCCTTTATATTCTATTTCTTTTGTTTGTATGTATCCTTATAGTAGTCTATCCTTTGATTTATATACTTACAGTCTGTGTCTTCTATATATCCTTCAATAGTGTCCTTATTTTATTATTCTTATTATTCTGTTATGATTTCTTTATCGATATACACAATATATCCTTGTTAGACTAGTACATATATTTTCATCGTATATGGTGAGTGTAGGCTGCATTTCCATCTTATATCTTTCATAAAGCTACAGTCATACAGCTGATGCATCACCATCTCTACAGTTTTCTCTCTCAGTCATTTTTCGTTACAATAATCAATATTAAGAACTACATCTGATAGTCTATTTAGAACTGATAAATTGTTTTCGATGATCTTTTATCACGTCTTAAAAAATTAACCAACTCGTTCAAGCTGGTTGTAATTCTCATTTTGATTTGCTTTTACTAGGTAGTAATGAATATGAATGGCAATAATACTAAAACCAACAGTTTTTTACAAAAATGACACCCTTTTGAAGAAGAAAATAATTATATAAATAACAAAGAGTATATAACCAGAAAAGACTCTTACAACAAGAATTCAATTTATTGTTCATGTTAAGAGACTCATTTTTCATATTTTGTTCTATACTAGACAGTTCTAATAGACCAAAAGCAACTGATGGTCAATGTATTTTATTAAAATATATTCGTTTGCATATCTATTCAGAAGACGAGTATAAATATTTTGTCATTCGCTTGTTTGTCTGAAATCATTGTCGTATTCTAACAGATAGGTAATATTTAAAAAAACGATAGATCTCTATGAGGTGGTTGATAATAACTTATAATCTGCTGTTATAGTCTATGAGAATAGCTTGTTGTTTTTGAAAGAGATCCAAGTTATAGATCAGAGAAATTTAATCTGCTGGAAAATTACAAATATTAGATGACCTGCCGACAATTCTGTTGGATCGAATTAAGAAATTTGTCTCGCAAAGTTTTAAATGTCGCATCTGTAATATGAAAAATAAAAATATAACTTACTTTAGAATGTAACTGATATCTCGAATTTGTTTCATAAATCAATAAACTAGAACATGATAAATAAAGAAAACTAATATTTTGATATACATATATTTATGAGTAATACCTGTGCCAATAGGCTATATCCCTTCCTATTCACATATCCACGTTACTTCATTTTGAGATAAGCCTTGGCTCTAAAGGTAATCATAATAGAAACAGACCTCGGCCTTCTATCTTATATAAGAACAGAAGAAGGTGAAGATCTATAAAATTGTCTATCCTTGTGTGTAGTAACAATAGGCCTAGACCTTCTATCTTCTAAAATGAGAAGGTAAAACTATAGAAATATTAATCCTTGTTTGTAATGATAATAGGCTTAGTCCTTCTATCTTATATAAAGAGTGAGAGGAAGCGAGGATATAAAAGGACGAGCAAAAGAGTAGTTGGGCACACACTTTTCCCCCGAACAATCAAGTGGATCAATATCGTGAATATTCTTAATACATTTATACGTGTGTTTGATTTTATGTGTCTCAATTTGTGTTTTATTATATATATGTTTATCGGTTATCATTTACTTTAAATAAATAATATTATACAAGTAACATTAAATAAGAAAGTTTTAATATAAACTTCAATCAATCCTTATTTTTCGTTACAATATACATAGGTGAAGTTAGCAGCCGATTCAAGTAATCCCACTAGCGATTTGTTCAGGCACATGGTCCAGTAGAGTTCCAAATGCAACTCGATCAGCTCT